CAGCATGTTCCAAGTCTGGTTTCAGATGTCTGGTAAGAGATCTCAAAGAAATGTACTTAAAAACGTACTTTCCATCAAACCAAAATAAAACCAATTATACATTTAGTTGAAATGATACATTTCATAGAGCCTCTATGAAATGTATCATTAGATAGAGGCAGGATTTGTAGATGAGGTCTGTCATGACCACTTAAAACAGCAGAACTGTCAACAATGTAAAACACAAGCCAACTGTTTTAGACTAATTTACTAAATTATTTCTGTTCATGAGGACCAGATTTCAAATTAACTTTGTAATGGTTTCACCCACTCAAGTCATCCTATTTATATCTCAAAGACATAAACAAACAACTGTTTCATTTCCCCCTTAGTTAACAACTTCATTTATGCAAAATGTGTTAGTGTCCCTTACCTGATAGTCTACCATGTACATATCTGTATATATAATGTACTGTGTTCAATGTATTGTGTTTTATAGATGGGTGGCGGGCAATACATTATGATTTGCAAATATAAATATCTCAATTTTCTCAAAAGATAAATAAACAAATCAATTACTTACTAGGTAACATTGGAACGCACCCCCATTTAGTAATATGTTTAGGAGCTAATGTAATATATATTTGTACAACTTGAGTATACTTAGCAAAATGTGTGAATCTATGTTGATATTGACCTGGGCCAGTAACCAGGAATATGTTGTGCACCCAACCATGCATGCCCACTGCGCAGAACAATTAGGCCATGGCGTTAATTGGCAAATAACTCCAGGTGTGGTGTTGGATAATGTTTCCACATCGATTTGTGATTCTCTTCAGCAAAATTATCTCAATAGTGCCTAATCAGACGCATTTGTGATTCCTAACCATAACCTGATTAAAATAATTTCCAGGGGTAAAACCATGTGTAAAACCTTTATACAGTCTATGAGTAAAACACACCTCTGTACACTTGTTGACATTTTAAAATCTGCATCACTTGAAGTTGCTATCGGTTACTGGGATTCTGTTTATCTTTAAATCTAAACCTTACTTTATATTCAGTTTCTCTCCGGTGTCCCCTGCTGACAACATGTTGCCCTCCGATAAAGTACGTTTTTATAACTTTCTTATATGTTTGCTAAAGAGTACATTATGTTGCTGTGATATCAAAGTTAGCTAATGTTAGTGCTGTTTCAAAGCTAGCTAGCTAGCGGAGTTATTCATTTATTTTACAGTTTTAACTATTAATCATACAATTAAAATGTTTAAAGTAAATCACCAATTTGCCAGGCACTTAGTGTTATACTTACCTATAAATACAGTTATAAACGTTTTTCATTAACGCTAGTCAGTCTTGTGTCAAGCTGATCCGTTTATGCTAGTTAAGCTAACGTTAGCTTCCCTCCTGGTGTTTCACTAAGCGGATTCATGAAGCATACTATGTCTTTGGCATGGAAGCTACACCTAGCTAACTAACCATTGATTATCACTGTATTTCCTCGTCCAATACCATCAAAAAAAGTCAGGCACAGGAGTACCTTCAGTGCAATACTCATTCCACCAAGACAGGTGCACAGCCATATACTGTGTTTATAACGCGCATAACAGAGCGCCTGTTGCCATCAGAGTGTTTAACTTTTACTCTTCCCAATTAGACTCACAATGGACTCACTTCACCATCATCAGCTATTCAGACTTTTCTATATTTAGTAACTTGTAGTAGGCCTATGTTAACTGGCTGCCATCAGAGGTGGAAGAAGTACTCAAATAGTGTAAAAGTAGAACTACCTGAGTGTAGGAATACTCTGATACGTTAAAGTCCTGCAATCAAAATGTTAATCAAGTAACAAAGTACACAAGTATTATAAACAAAATATACTTATAGTACCAAAATTAAAAGCATTCATTATGCAGACTGGCCCATTTTAGAATATGCATCATATGTTTTGATTATAAATATTAATGCATTAGATTGTTATCAAAGCTGGTAAAGGTGCAGTTTAACTACTTGATATACTGCAGGGCAGCCTGTGCATTTTACTCCAGGTCTTAAAAGGTGTTAAATAAATGTTGTGGAGTAAAAGTACACTATACATTCTGATTTGTAGTAGAGTAGAAGTACAAAGTAGCAACACATTGAAATATTTAAGTTAATTAGAAGTACCTCAGAATTGTAGTTTAACTACAGTACTACAGTACAGTATATCTACTTACTTTACCCCACTGGCTGTCATGGAGGTTATGTGAACTGAACAACAACATTTCTTTGGAGGAATAAATGCTTGTTATATATTGAGTTCCGGCATTATGTTTTGTGGTGTTCTAGGTTCGAGGCTGCCTGAAAAATTAAGCATTGCATTTAACACAAGCAAGAACCCACAACAGATTTCATGGTGTAATGGGCATAAGTCTACGGGATTCATCTATAATGACAACGCATTGCATAGTCATACTGCAGCCAGTGGGTTAATTATCTTTCTGTTTTTTCAGTGTCATCAGGACCAAATGAGCTTACTTGAACAGGAGAGACTGCAGCCGCAGATGTTGCCTGCAGTGCAGTCAGACCAGTATACACTACTGAGAAAATATGGTGACCTGAATGGGCCACAACATGTATCCGATGAGGAAGCAAAGACGGCTCAGCAGGCCCGCAAAAAGATTGCAGCTCGTCTGACAATCGCAAAGTTATTTCATCGATACAGGTTGGAAAGCATTGAATTAGAATTTTAAAGCTCAAGCTGGTTAGAAGGTTGTGATTACTGTTATTCAAAGGTACTGTACTACCCAGGTCACATGACTTTTAAAACATTTTGACGAGATTAGGTTTAGTTATAGGGCATTCTATTATAGCTTACTCAAACTTATTCTTTACGTTTTTACATTGTGTATTGTGTGTTCTTTAGATATGCTATAGATGTATATATGTATGTTTTTAATAAGCATATATTAACTGATTTTTATTTTGTAAAAAACATTTCCAGATTTGGTAAAAAAAAAATCCAGATTTGGTAACAAAAAAAACATACTTTATCTAATGTTATCTAATAAGGCTACAGGGGAAGCTAACTTAATCCCAAGGTTTTTATTAGTGAACCTACCATCAGACAGAAGAGGATTTGAGAGATTAAGCAGAATCTTAGCACTTGCCATCTGGTTTTCAACTATACTCAATACAGTGCACTTTATTGACTATTTAAACATGTTCTGAGATTGTAGACATCAAAACAGTGCTAATGGAAATAAGGAGTTTTTCTCAAAACCATCTGCTCTGTCTACCAAGGACAAGAGACAGGAGGAAGCAATGCAATGATAAGGAATTCACAACATGATATAAACCTTGAAAGGGAGCTACCTCAGCCCTCAACTGAAGAGTTTAACCTCTCCTCCACAGCATCTGTCTCCCAAGCATGATACAAATACAGCACGTTTAGTTGGGACACCTGCAATTATTTAAACCAACAGCAAACTCACTGATACAGTATATAATGAGTCCAAGGACATGCCAGGAACCAGTGTGCCAGAAGCTGTGTCTATTCTTGTCTGGGTAAGCAGTAGAAAGTGATCAAATCTGGCTTATCAGTTACCAATGCCATGCCATGTTCAGTTTGCTCCCATCAGACCCAATACTTGTACAAAGGTAGCTCTGCAGAATATTTGATGTCGATGGGATTTGTAATTAATGGTCTTCTTAGTCACTACCTACTAATTTTATATTACACTTGATAATAGCAGTGCAGCAATTCCATTTGAGCCATGTATGAACATATCTCGACTTGAGAGGAAAGGTTGTGATATTGCTGCTATATTTAAAGACAAGCACACTTCAAATCCCACTCTTAACTACTTTCAGACCTCTGAGGTCTTGTCAAAAACCAAACTGCTCACTGTTATCTCAACACATTTTGACAATCTCTTCTTATCCTCTTAACTATTACTTCTTATCCTACAACACAGGTCTCAGCTGATCTACAAAAAACATAATGTCACCGTCACCTCAGATACTCCGACAAAGGGAGAGAAGATCTGCCTCACTGTGTATGAAAACAATGTGAGTATATGATGATTAATAAGGCATGCTTTTTGATGATTAAGCTAAAGAATAAGTGCAAATATAAATAAAGTATGAGTAAAGCAAAAGCCGATCGTTTGTTGCTCATTCCTTTAAAGAAAAGAGTATTCTGACTTTATATACTTACCTAATGTATTGTGTGAGCCCACACATCTCTGTTATCCTACAAGGGCCTAGTGTTCTTATAGGAATACACTATGACTAAATCCACTTGAAGGTATTAAGTCTTACCTAGGTACAATTCCTAAAGCAGTCTCCAAGAATGTGCACATGACGGCGGATGTGGGTAGTAAGGGGTCATATTTGTGTGCGTATGCATTTGGTTTTGCTGCAATGACAATAACTAACAATTTGCATTATACATTTCCTTCCCAACAGATAATGGTGCCTCTCACTGTGAAAAACTCTGAAGTCAAAATGGTCTATTTATCTTTTTGGGCTTCTGAACTCGTAAAGGACATTTTCACTGTCAGTGACTGTCATGGAAATATTATCAAGACGCTAACGCAACTCCCTCTTAGGCCAGGTATGACAAAGACTCATCAATCAAGAGACAGGTCTCATACGCCTTATGCTAAGTACTCCAGAAAGTCTTGTGTTAGATTAGGCTCAGCACTGGGGACAGTTCAAACTCAGTGGTTTAACAATGAGGATGCTGAATTCATACTGTAACACAACAAATGAGTTATAGCTATTTCATGTGGTGTATCATAAATGTGTTATTTTATGATAAATCCAGCCTTGAAATATCTTCAGTTTATTATTTATAAATTAACATTAATGAATATTGTATAAGCCTAATTTTCTTCAGCTGTTTTCCTCCCATGCACTTTGTAGGAGAGGCATATCAAATCCAGGTCCATTTCAACTCAGAGCATGCAGGCTTCTATGAACAGCTACTGGTCTTTAAGTTTGAAACACGGCTGCAGTCTACAGATACATTTGAGGTAATGCGCCTCCTGGAAATCATCCAACGAACATCTTTTGATGAAGAGCCCCTCACTACAGTCCCAGACTCATTGTGCGACATCGAAACTGTGAAATGGATCCCTGTTGAAGGGTAAACAAGTTAATATAATGTGATATAAATGTTGTTTAAGTATGTGTGTTGATTTGAAATCATCCAATACAGACACATTTTATGTTTTCACAACTGATCTAATAATCCTAATACATCTTTCATGGCCTTTTTCAGACTTGAACCAAACGTACAGAAAGTTTAAATGTGTAAAGTTTTACATTTCCTTCTGCTTCCTCTCGGACAGTCTTAAATCAAATGGAACACTATAATTGTTCCCAATTTAAATAAAGCAGATTGCAGATGTTTTGGACAGTACTATTGTTAATCATTAATGTCTTGTGTTCTTTCTTGTTTTCCTCTCCAGTTTCAATTATTCGTTGCTTCCAATGGCGGTGCCTTTGAAGGGTTACGAGATGCCAGACAGTATAAAAGATCTCAAGCAAACCACCATGTATGTATTTCAAAGTACACAAACACACACATATACACTAAATGAGAAAGTAATAATAGTACATAATCTGTACTAGAATGTATTCATTATAATAAGGTAGTGGTTACCAAATGTTGTGGTATATTGTAAATACTGAGTTTCATTATCAATAAAACAGGTCAGGGCAAAATGTAATAAGTAAGAGAAAATGACTAGCATTGAATAATGACTCATCTTGGAAATAGTCTCACTCCACCCTGAGCAAAGAGCTGTTGACATTACATAACACATCGAACCAGTTCCCTGCATTTTTATTCCACACAATTTATATTGTTATAGAAAATGTTTTTGCAATAGAAAGGCTCAGTTTGTAGAGGCAACTGGTTTTTACTACAGATGCAAGAATACAAAATAAAGTTTCAAATTGGACGATCCTTGGCTAAACTGTAGTGAGTGAAATGCCACTATGAGCCGTACACTTCCAAGAGAGGGAACATGCCTGCTAAGCCTGTTACAGTGATCCAATTTGATTAAGCGTGTTGTTTTAGGGACCTGGAAAAGATGCCTCTGAACTGGGAAAACTATCCAACGAAGTTTCACCTGCTGCTGCATCTCGAGGAGCTCCAGCAAAAGACAGAAATTGAGAAATACAACCAGGATGCGCCCCTGTTCAGACACAAAGACAACAGAGACCTTCTCATTCTGAAGGTAGTACACAAACACACACACACATCTCACATCTAAGAATAAAACCGTAAACTCACATTAACATTTTGTTTGATCAGATTGCATGTGCTGCTAAGTACTCCCATTCGAGGCTGGTCGGGAACAAACTGCGGGTGTGTCCTTTAAACCCGTTAGGAGGCCTTAATGAGACATCTTATGAAGCCTGGGTCTGTCATGTGGATCTGGAAAATATGTGGCTGCAATGTAATAAAGGGTAAGACAAATGTTTAAAAACGAGATGGGGAATGGGATTAAATGATGAATCCCTTGAGGTGTTGACACAAAGAATATTTGATTGCCTGGTGGTGTATTTGCCCAATATAATTCAATCTATATGCACCTTCTTTCTTTTACTGCTGCATATTCAAATCAATAAGAGATTGAGCTATAAAACAGCATTTTGCTCCAAGTGCTAACCAAATGATAGACTTCAAATTGTTTCTGAAACAGGGGCTTCAACACTTTTCATTAATAAACAGAGCTAAGAAGACAGAGGAATCCAATTTGTCTGCATTTAGTTTGTTTCACAGCTGGTATTGCTCTAATTTAAAGTTGAATGTACTTTCCTGCAACAAGCTCCGGGCTTGAAATGAAATAAGTACATACAACAACATACTAATAATCACTGCACTTCTTCAAAGGTGTCCTCGGGGAGTTCTTTTTATTTAGTACTGTAGACGTGGCACTAGAAATACATCTTTTCTAAAGTGTTTTATTGTTTGTTTACTGCTATATTGAATGTGTTAAGTTGTTCACTCTTTAGTGCTGCTCTTATAAATATAAACACAGGTTCCTGAGCTGTTTCAAAGATGGCATGAGGTTCCGTTTCCTCTTCTTTATCAACCGCATGCCATTGCGTAACCAGCACAGAGCAGTTGAGCTGGTGAGAACCCACAGACTGATGGAGGTGCTGTTCCCTACTGGAAAGTTTTCTTCCCACCATTCACGACTAGACAGGTCAGAATTCCTCAAGGTCAAGAAGCCAGGGAAAACATTATGATACGAACAAGGTCATACTTCAGTGCTGTCTTATTAACCTACTGACTTACTGTTTGTCATGCTGCTACTCATTTTTGACCCATGTATGAGTACCGTACTTGTTTTTTATTAGACATCTGCTTTTTCTCTATATTTAACATGTTAGCAGATAAAAGACAAGCAATAGTTAAATAGCTATGTCACTTTTGATGTAACGCTACAATAATACATCACATCGGCCCTACATTTCTTCCTTTTTCCCGAAGCAACTTACATATACCATGGATGCTTGACATGTTGGCTGCAGTGGGGGAGGGGTCAAACCTTTAACCTTCTTGTGCACGTCTATCGCTCTGTCATTAGGCTGATAGAGCTTGAAAGCAACCCTGAGCAGTGCAACGCCGTTCTACATATTGTAGCTGCTTCAGCAAAACCTTCCCCATACCTGGTATTTGGTCCACCTGGCACAGGTACAGTATATGCATGTGGGTTAAAGGTCTCCTATCATGCAAAATGCACTTTTTAATGTCCTGTATACATAAATATGTGTCCCCGATGTGTCAGGGAACTCATAACGTGTCAGAAAACAAAGCCCTCTCTCTTCTCCTCCGTAACCAAATCTCTAAAAACGGGGGTACAACGGAGCTGATCCAGATCTGCGTCCGATATGACGTAATATCGGAAATGTGGACCCACGACCCTATCAGAAACAATGCCTGACTGTTTTGGACGTAATATGGTCTTTGTTTACATTAGCAAGCATCGCTAACACTCAGAGCTAACCTGTACTGGAGAGAGTATGTGTAAAAAAGCAGGAAATAAAAAAAGGAACTCACCTTGTTGTAAACCTGCAAGAGAAAAAGCATTTGAGCTCCACACTGTTTCAGAAATAATCCTTGATGTGGTTTGGAACATGATATGGCATTTAAACACAGCAGCATTGAGCTGTATCTCGTAGAATTCTGAGCAGGCATTAGCTCCCCATCCTCTTTTCTTTTTTTTTCAAGCTAAGGACCCAGAATCAGCGTTTCTCTAACAGGCCTGAAATAGATGGATATGACGGACGTCTAAAATGCATGATCTGTTTGTATTTTGACCAAAACACATCATAGACATGTTTTTTAGATATTTGTATATATCTGAGACCCATAATATATGCATAAAAATAGCATAGGAGATCTTTAATGCCTCGTGATGCTTACGTTTTGAATTGTATTTCCATTTAAAATAACCTATTTTACATGATTTTGTCAGGAAAAACTGTGACTTTAGTGGAAGCCATCAAGCAGATAGTGAAAAGGCAGCCCTGCTGTCACATCCTGGCGTGTGCCCCTTCCAACAGTGCAGCTGACCATCTATGTGAGAAGATTCGGGCAGGAAGCATACCCACATCCATGGTGTATCGCTTGTATGCCCTAAGCTACCCTGTGGCAAATATCCCCCCAAAGAGCTTGGTAATACCAATACATAGAGTGTTGCTGCTTCACCTCCATCAAATATCATCATTCATTCTCTGAGACCATTGTTTTAACTTGTGTTGCTGTTGTGTCTAGATGTACAAATGTGGGCTTTTGTTTTGTTTTGTATAGTGCAACCTGGAAGAAAAGACAAAAACACTCTTGATTCCCCATAAAGAAATTCTGATGTGGCAAAGGATCTTGGTTACCACCCTGCAAACAGCTGGAAGGTACATTACGTTGTTACATTCTTTTTTAATAGCCAATAAGGATTTTAACAGAACATATGATCATTTTTGACATTTCACAACAGGAAAAGAACAGGAGAAATAATAGTACAATGAATGGCTGAATTTCATTTAGGTGTATCAGTTCCAAGTAGTGTGGTAGTGTGCGTGCTCGCTCAATAGCATGGTTTACTGGGAAAAGCCGTAACTAGGTACATCTCTGATTCATCAGCGAGTATCAGCAACAAGACACTTGCTCAACATTCAACAAACATCTCAGCCATAGCAGCAGCATTACTCACATATATAAAAAAAGAGGCACATAATCCACTGTGTGTTACTATGACTAAACAGCAACTGCTTTATCTTAAATATCTAAATATTGTTGATTTGCTCTCTCTCCTGCAGGCTAGTGTCAGGAGGGATTCCTCCAGGTCATTTCACCTATCTATTTGTGGATGAAGCAGGCCAGGCTACAGAAACAGAGTGTATCATCCCTTTAGCCGGTGAATAGCAAGCAGAGCTTTAACATCAGTATTTGAAATGTTGCATGAGGTGTGACCTTAATTTGTGTTTGTCCCAAAGGTTTACTGGATCCACAAACATGCCAGTTAGTGCTGGCTGGAGACCCTAAACAGTTGGGCCCGATCCTCTCATCCATAGTAGCAGAGAAACATGGCCTAGGTGAGAACTGTCTTTAACATATTGGTCAGGTGTTTGATGTCTGTTTTTTATTGCCTGTACCTAAAGCAATACAAACAAATATTTAAAATAATTACTCTGTGCAGGTGTGTCAATGTTGGAGCGTCTGATGAACAACATTGTCCTTTACAAGTCACATGAGACGCACGGGTTCAACAACCGCTTTGTATCCAAACTACTGAGGAACTACAGGTGCAGTTGTCGTGATGCCCTAATGAGTCACTTTGTCCTTTCACAATGTCACTTTTGAAACCACGGGCAACCATCCCGTGCTTTTGTCTGAACATGTCCATAATTCACAATAGCCTTTTTTCCCCTCTTCACTCTCTCTCAGGTCACATCCTGCAATTCTGAAGATTCCCAATGAGCTCTTTTATGCTGGACAACTTCAGCCTTATGCTGATATAGCGACATATAGTGCATACTGCGATTGGGAGTGCCTGCCCAGAAAAGTAATGTCCACATGTGCACACACACAAAGTCTCTCTCTCTTTCTACCCCTCACCCTATTCTCCCGTCTTCGTCTTTTTCTCCTCAGGGTTTCCCTTTGATCTTCCATGGAGTGGCAGGTACTGATGAACGGGACCATAACTGTCCCTCTGTTTACAACATGGCGGAGGTGGAGGTGTTGAAGGATTACTTAAAAGCCCTTGTTTGGCATTTTCGCAAAAAGGGTGTGACCAAAATTGAACCAAATGAAATTGGCGTCATTACCCCGTACACAAAACAGGTGAATATGTTATCACAATAATCTGGATGTATTAATAGACTTGGATATAATACAATATTCCTGGAAATACAAAATTAGCTTCTACTTCTTCTAAGGTGCCGAGAACTAAACAACACAAGAATAATCCCCTATGAATCGCAGTACACGTTCCTGTAGACCGCCATTATTAAAACACACCTGTAAAACCGGTGACATGATCTTTATATATACAGTCTATGGACATGACACCTCAAAATCAAACAAGGTCAATATTTATGAGTTGCTACTCTTGTACTTTTAATATTTGTAAGAGTTTTTCAGATTCTAGAAAATCTGTTTTTATGTGCTAAATATATAGATAGATAGATATCTGTCTAAAATCTACAAAACATGCTGTACAGTATGTTGTGTGACAATGTAATGTGGAAACAACTTTCTTTGGATTTAATAGGTTTCTTCTTTGAGCCAGTATGTGTCGTATCCAATATTGCTTAAGTGAAAGTTGCGCATAAGTTTGCGTTTGAACAAGCATTTAAAGTGACCACAACTACATCTAGTTAGAGTAATCCTGTTAATATCATCCTATGTTTGTGTTCTGAAAGGTGGAGAAAATTAAAAATGCCCTTCAGACGGACAAAGATCTCAGGCAGGAAAACTTAGAAAACATAATGGTATGGAGATAGAAAGTTATTGTGTGTTTGTTTCAAAACATGTTTAATAAAATACATTTTGGAACTGCATTAACAATTTGCATTTCTTTTTTCATAGGTCGGTTCAGTGGAGAAGTTTCAGGGTAAAGAGTGCAGCGTTATTCTGGTGTCTACAGTGCGCAGTTATCCCAAACTGACTGCTCACAAGCAACAAGTTACTATAGGCTTTGTTGATAATGAGAAGGTGAGAAGCATTGCAAAGACACACACTAACTGAAAGGCAATATTTGTACAAGATTTCCGTTGTATTTGACATGCTCCTTTTAGAATGTTGAGTCCCTTTCATGCCTGCACAACAATCCAAAGACACTCATTTATACATGCACCCTAACAAAAACTCTCTCCTCAGAGGTTCAACGTAGCATTGACCAGGGCACAAGCCTTACTGATTGTGGTCGGAGACCCGAGAGTCTTGAAAACTGAACCAATCTGGAACAAGTAAGGCCTCATTGGGCTAATTCTCTTTCAAGTTTTGTTCGGACAAATACATATCTAATTCCAACATGCCTCATAAAATCACTTCTCTTTGTAGATTCATCCATTACTGCTCTGAAGAAGGGGGTTACCGTGGCATTGCAGTGTCTGATGGAGAGGAAGAGGAAGAGGAAGATGCACTGCCAAATGTACACTCAGAGTGACTCTGGTAATAAGCACATTCACCAGAACTCCCACACATTTTGCTCTGTTTGTCTTTCCGTTGCCCCAAAAATCATCTTGATGACTGAGGAATGTTTGGTTTCTCTTTCCGCATTTGATCTACACCCCACAGTGAAGAGTGATTCAGAAACAGCTGCAACCATGTTGAAGGAGCAACACCCCTCGCACAGGCTGAATATTTAACAAAACAAAAGCAAGAATAAAGAACTGGTTGAGAAACTAAGCTTGAGTGTACAGTTCACTCAGAAAAGACGCAGGGCAAAACTGCATATCGGAAAAATTATCATTTGCTAACCACATTTGTAAATACAATGCATAGAATTTGAGTCATTAGATTGACTTCTTGTGTATTGCCTATCTAAAAAATCTGACAATCATTGTTATGTAAAACTGGCTGTAGAAATAACAACTTATTTTTTTACATTTAGACCAACTAATGTGAACAAGATGTTTAAGGAAATTGAAGTTGAAATAGATTTGCAATTTAAGAAAAAGAGCTATGTTTCCATGGTTACAATCAGTAACATCTGCTGACAACTGACAAATATAGAAAAACATTGACTTACTTTGTGGTTTGCTAATTCCTATCTTCATTGAGATGACTCATCAAGTTGTTGAGTAAACAGATATTTTAATATCTGTAGTATTTTCATCATTTAAAAAAAATCTTTTATCTCACCCAAATAATTGTTGTAATAATCACAAAAAGAAGTCATCATCAAGTGTACCAATTACTGTTATGATAAGCTTCCTGTGTGTTTAATGTGTGCAATTGAATTTTCTATCATCACCCTTTTTTACAAGTTGAGTACTTAAGAAGCTTTATTTTGAGCCAACACTAATTTCATCTGTAAAGAGGGAAACTAAAAAACAAGGCATTGAAACTAGTTTAACAGAGTGCGTTATAATTTATAATCTGATAGTTGGCGATGCCAGACAAAATAACAAAAAACAATGTGGGAAAAATGTGAAAGAGTGGCACAAAGTCATGATCTCAATCTAAATGATCTTTGTTTAGCTACCTTATCTTATTGGCCTCATGGATAAAGGTTGAAGGGAATCCAGTAAGACTTTCCTTGCACCCTTTAAACGATAGGTTTACGTTTCCTGCATTAGGGTGGGTTTAGTACTGATAGGCACACACCTATTATCTGGATGTGTGTGTGTGTGTGTGTGTGTGTGTGTGTGTGTGTGTGTGTGTGTGTGTGTGTGTGTGTGTGTGTGTGTGTGTGCGTGTGTGCGTGCGTGCGTGCGTGTATACCTCACTGAACTGCCACAGCTCGCAATCTCATGCCAACAACATTGTTTTTTTTAATCAATTTTTGATTAATCTGCCTCAAATTATAACAGATTATTTGGCACATTCAGAACAATAAGGTTATACATTTTATAAAGGAACATTTACTTGGTCATTTTAATGTAAACATCGCCATTTTAGCAATAAGGGGCCATGCATAAAACTGCTCTACAGATGTATGAACCTGTTAACATTTCACTCTTGTTTATTATTAGACTGCAGTCAGCATCAGCAATAATGGTATTGCTTTACTGTATCTTCCATGTTCTGCTACATCCTTACAGTTATAACCGAGTAGGCAGCATTATACAGACTAAAATGACAATCTGACAGGTCACGTTATTGCTGACTGTTCACTGATTGACTCATCCGGATCATATGTTTTTATGACTCCTCTGTTCCACTTGGTTAGGAGTTTCGCTTTGCTCCTTTTGGTTTTAATGTGTAAACACGTTAAGTTTCGTTTCTCCGGACTGAGCGGCTGTGTGGGTGCACCTGCTTTAATGAACGTAGCCTCGGTGTTGCTGCTCTGTAACAGGAAAGACAGAAACACCGCCCCTGTGGACTGTCCGGGGATATAAAGAGAACCGCTCCGGAATCTATTCTGTGATGTAAATACAGTATACAGTAAGGAGTGTATCGAAGGATTCACTGTATTAGGTCGAATAATCCGGATTTTTTCTTATTTGATCTTCAAACATCAATTTTCGATCATGGTTAATATAAAGTTATCCGTACGCTGCACAATTGGAGTCGAGTTTTTCGAGTTTTTGAAGGAAAGTGAACGAACATCCATTACAGACAGATTGGAATTAAGAGACATTTACAACAACGAGTTCAGGACCAGGTACATTCTACATAATGGGGATATCCAATAACATCTTATTGTATATATTTTTGACAGTTATTATTAATACTTTCGAAATGTTTTTTATTTTAAGGAATGCATTGTCCAGAGATCCAAACTTCGGTTCAGTTCTCTATGCCCTGAAGATGTCCAACAAAATAACAAGACGGAGGGACAATATCCGCTTCAACTCCAAGGTATGCACTTCCGCATTATATTGTGCACCTTAGCCTATGTTTAATAATATTTCAAATGTATGTAAGGGTAACCGCAACTACAGCTTTTGAAAATGAAAGTACAATGTTCAAACTGCGGCTTTCATCAGCTGCAACGAGACCCTTGTCCCTTTAATGACACACTGAATATATTTCAGATTAAACCTAGAGTTAGAGGGAGCTGGATATATACAACAGTCAATTACAAATATAATCTTAAAGAATGTAATTGTTTTAATTTATGGGTCAAATTCTAATACATATCTGACAGGTCACACGCAATAGTGATGTCACTTTGCACCACAAGTCACCGCTGCAATGTCAAGTATACACATTTGTCTTTTTTATATATGTTCTAAATAGTTCTTCTGGTTGATCGGTTATTTATTTAAAGGTCTTTATAGTGTCGTCATTTCCAGGTTTTAGTTTTATTCACCCTCTTTCCTAAAGCGGTGTTTAAGTTCTTCAGTTGATTAAGAATAATAATAAATATGTTTTACTTTTCTTTTTATATGTATGAGGTTTATTTATCTCTATTTTGAATAGTGTTGTTTATCATTATGGTTAGTTTATATTTTTAAATTGTATTGAATTTTAATATGTTAAGTTGGTGCAATCGTGTCTGACAAAATCCTTAAAATACGCGCACAGAGAAAAAAAATCCACATTTGCCTTTTCAAAAAGGTTTGGATACCATTATATCAACTGCAAGCAAATCGTCAAAAACAGAGGACACTTTTACTTGATTGGGGAATTTTCCATTTTAAGACACAATTGACATTGCAAGTGATCCTTTGCACAGGTCACGGCTATTTTTCTGGACCAGTGGCATTCACCAAAGAGACGCCAGCCAGAACTGGTCCTGAATGGAGCGGCCAGTCCCGGGACAGTAGAGACCTTCACCTCTGCAGATCAGGCATTAACGGGAGTTCGAGCCCGAAGGAAACTTGCGAGTCTTCTGATGACCAACCTGAAGAAAAACAGGTAACGGGTGCCAAATATTATTTGTCCTCTTTGTTTTTCAATGCTGACCTCCTACTATTTCTATACTGTGCGATCCTCTTAAACCAAATATGTTCAGTATTTTTTTGTAGACAACTCAATACAAACAAAAACTGGAATGCGCCACTGTCTACAGACACAAGGCAAAAATAATTAAACCTGCTCTTTTTTCTCTTCCACAGGGCTCAATTCATCTCCGACAAACATGGTATCCGCATCGACACTGACACTGAACAGTTCCAGAACGGGAAACTTTCCCTGCGCATTGATGACACATGTGAGGTATTGATGTTGTAAACCAACAGCATTCTCTGTTGACCATCTGCTGAAACACTTAACCCCTACTTGGTGGTGTAAATGTTAAGTTACACTGCATAAATATTGTTCTTTTTTAAACAGTGTGTGATAAATCTGAAGGTGGAAAACACTGGAACAGAACCAGTGTATTTCACCTATTACACCCCGCTGCACTGGCTCAGGGACTTCACACTGAAGGATGACCTCAACGTCACCAAGGCAAACCCTCTGTGTCTAAAACCAGGTTGCGCACACATCATAAACAAGTTTCATTTTATCTTAATTTATGATGCCATATTTTGCTCAGCTGAGAGAGAATTTATGGACACAATAAACCGCTATGACTACACTAAACATTATGACCTGTTGCTGTCTATTGTCAGGTGCCAGCTATAACATCCAGGTTAACTTCCGCTGCAGTTTGGTTGGTTTCTATCCAGCTACACTGGCCTTTGAGTTCAAAGAAGACCTGCAGTCCTCCGCTGCGTTCCACATAGTGCGCTATATCGAAGCTCAGTGTGTAACTGCCTTAGGACTGGAGCTGGCTCCTGTAGCCCCCTACAAACCCCTCCCCCTCCCTGCCTGGACTCCCGAAGAGAGTTTCTTGATTGAGGATGGGCAGAAACCTGAAGGGTACCATCATTCACTCAGCACAATCATACATATACTGCAGATGTAACTATTTAAATGCGATATGTCCCCCGGTGATGTATCTAAATGTTTCCATGTTGTCTCGTCTTTCCAGGCTGTCAGTGATGCAGCTCAAAAATGTGATTGAGCTGAAACAGTATAGAATACCATCAAACATGGCCCTGCTCATCCAGTCACTGAAGCAGCTTTACTCCTGTGATAAAAGGTACATTGATTTGAGTTTTTGATATTTCCAGGAGATAAAGGATAACACTTTTGTAATACACGTTTTCACTATGATGTTAATGTCTATAAAAGGGCACAGTGTAGCCAATAGAAAATACATTAACATGCAACTGATTTGCAACAGAAAAAAACAGTTTTAGAAAGAACATAAGCCTGGTCAGTTATTATTTTTCTTTCAACATAATGAGGAAATGTTGCTATTTAACTTATCTGGCTCGTCATAAAAATGTTATGATACTGAAAAAATCTATAAAATGTTCACGTACAACACATTTTATACATTTTTGCCCAAAATACCCAATCTCGCGATACAATATATACTTGTGACCATTGCTTTATAAACTTTATAAACTTTATGGTATGTTAAGACACAGGTGATGGAAATACTGTAGTTTTAGTTTAGTTCAGATAAATTATGCAATGGCTTCAAATAAAAGCTACAACTTTCATCAACATTTAATCAAAGACATTATCTTACCTCAACCAAAGTGTTTTTGTTGTGTATATTGGCATTTCCATTGAGTCTATGGGTGACTCAATGTAAATTCCAATATTCCTATTTATATACAACTACAATAATATATGTACTTCCACATTTGTTAATTCCCCTTTTGTTATTTTAGAAGGGCCTTGCTGGAAAGTCCCCTGAGCTGGGAAAACTACACTGAGAAGTTTCAGCTGCTGCTGTATCTGGAGGAGCTTCAGATGGAGGTGGACATCAAGAGATACAACATCCCCAACAACGAGAAGGAACACACCACCATGTCCAGAGACAAGACCAACAAGAAGCTCCTCAAGCTGGAGGTTAATATGTGCTCACTCATTCACTCAGTGCTGGCATAACCACTCTTTGCTTCACTTTTTAAAAACGGGTGCAAAAAGGCAAGTGCATATCATACACCAAAGTTTAAAGGTCCCCTATTATACTCTTTTTCATCAATATAACATAGTTCTCAGTTATATACAAAACATATCTCTGATGTTTTTTGGCTCCAAATACCAAACAGATCATGCATTGTAGCATCCCATAAACCCCTCTGTTTCAGCCCTGTTTCCAAAATGCTGATTCTCTTTCTGTTACTTCAGATGAAAAAAAGGAGCCACTCCCCACCCCCCTCTGAGAGATATTTGGTTAAAAAGAACACAACTAGGAGGAGATTCAGGTGATAAGGTGGGGGGGGGATGTTACCTTGGTTGGTGATTGGCTAATGGTTACACAAGCCAAAAAAATCGTTATGACATCATAAAGTGGCCAAAATCTGATCAGCTCATTTTAAGACAGGTTTTTA